TAAACGGTCCAACGCTGAACTCTGCTCACCGTAACTGCGGCGATAGAAAAAGCTTTCTATATATTTTCTATTTTACAGCACCACTTTTCACCGCAAAAGAGAATGTCAGCTTTACATGGATAAATGTTGAAAGAAGGAGAAAATAAAAACAAGAAAGGAAAATTCGTTCATGGCCATTGCTTGGTGATGTTTCTGCTGTGAGATGATGCTGATGTCTTTGCCAGCGTCTAAATTGCAATCGAGAATTTAGCGCATGCGCAAATGTTCTTTGGCGCTGCCACGGTGAAGTTGTGTTGCGAAAAAGCGAACGCGCGCGTGCGCAATTCACGCGTAAAATATAACAAGTAGAAAGGTAAACACTTGAGTTAGCATAAAGTGAGAAAGAAGTTAAAAATGTGAAATATTTTATGAAAAAAAATATATTTAAACAAAAATCATTTAAAATTTTAGAAATACTTGCATATTGCTAAAAAAAATAGCTATTAACACGAGATGGTAATAAAATGCTTTTAATAATGCGAAGGTTCGAAAATAAATTAGTGAAGAAAAAAAATAAAATATGAATTTGAAAATATTTAAAAAGTGGGAAATAATTTAGAAAAATAATCAATCATATACACATATACATACATATGTATGTATTTATTATAATAAAGAGGTTTTTAGCGAATACAAAATAAATTACAAAACTAAAAATTGCTATTACGTAACATTTTTTGTAATTAAAACTGTAACAAATCAACGGCTTTTACGGGAAAAAGCACCCAAATGTAGCATTTATTTTAGTTAGATTATATAAACAGAATGTGGACTTGATCCAAAGTATATGGTGCATAAAATTGTAGTTACTATGTAAGAATTTCGCTAAATTGTGCTATAACAAAATATTATTTGGCGCCAGTGTTGATAGCAATCGATAGCCTAGACATTATTCTCAGAATACTGCAAAAAATTTCGTTACTTTTCCTTAAATTTCCAATTTTGGCGAATTTTTATTAAAAATGGTCTATT